GTATCTGGCTTACCTGTCAATATCTTTTAGTGATGTCATCATGCTGCTTACTTGACTGAAGCATGAAACCTCTATTTAGCATCTTATCTTTGGGCTGGACGTCATAATCATCAGATCATTTCCATTGAGTGTCTCCATTAGTATCATTCTCACTAAGCTACCCTCCTTTCTACGCCTTCTGCATCTTCAAAAACTAGGAGTTGGTAGTTGTTTTCTGTGTAGATCATAATTTTAGAGCCTAGGAAGCTGTGAAGGTCACCATCTTCATTTTTACAAATGAGGAAATGTCTGACTCAAAGACGTTTTCTAACCCACATCTTCTAACTCTAATTCCAGTGCTCTTTTGACTATAGCATGAGAGCTGAGGGTTAGGACCCATCATATCTGGCTGGAGCACTGACAGAAATGAGCAGCATGGCCCCATGTTAATATAAAATCTATTGTTTAACTGACTCTGATGCTGATTCAAAGTCCCAGCACCCAGCCAACTGTTTGACTTAAGGTTAGAAAATTCTTTCTAACTCCTATTATTTCTCAGGTTGGAATCCTGTGGTCATAAGATTTATTGATGGGTTCTACCAAAAATACTCCAAGGTTCCTGTGGGAAAGTCAGGGCTCTGAAACCTAGTCCTTCCTGATTGATATGCAAATGAAATTAATCAGAAAATAGGCAAAGACCACACTCTCCTAATGTCCTTGTGCAAATTTCTGCCTTTACTATGCATCTCAGCCAGCAACAAAACCTTCTTAATTCTTCTTTGTGTTCTTATGAGGGGAAAACAAAACAAAACAACAAAAAAACCTTATAGCCTCCCTACATTAATAAAAACAGTCTCCTAACTTTGAAGCCAAGAGTTTATATTCACATTTTTACAGAGTATATATTAAACAAAAATTTATGGGGAAGCTGGATATTAATATGTTTTCAGACTGGAAATAAAGTTAGCTTCCCATTGCTTCCCAACTGAAACAACTATCACTGATCATTTTTTTTTTTGTGATCAATAGCCTGCCAATTAACAAGCCCTGAACCACTGACATAATGGAATTTCTGTTCTTAAAGCCTGTACAATTTTTTTTGAAGAAAACAAAGTATGTATTTATTGATTGATAAACGTATAAACAGGTTGTGGTATGTAAATGTCATGTCATATTACTGTGCTGTAAGAAATGACAAAAATTAAGAATTCAGAAAAGGATGTGAAGATTTACATGAATGAATTCAAAGTAAAGTAAGCAGAACCAGAAAAACAATACATACAATGATTACAATAATGTAAATGTGAAGTAAATGAACAAAACTAAAAACTATGAAATTATAAAGATGAAGATTGAACCCCCAAAACAGATGTGAGGAGAAATAACACTCCTTTCTTTTTTTTTTGCAAAGATAGGGGACTTTGAGGCACAGGACACTATCCAGGGGTGGGGAACCTGCAGCCTGGAGGCCACATGTAGCCTGCACAATTTTAGTTGTGGTTGATGATAACCCTTGTCAGTGGTTCCTTCATATTTTATATTATTCCTTAGTATTTTTGTTAAAGAGCATAATCCATAGTTCTTCTACATGGTTCATTATTCAGTTCATTCAAATAGTCAGTGTTTGTTTTTACTCAAATATGTTTTTATTATTATATTATATATCTCTTAGACTAAGTTCCATTGCTTAAATTAAGAAGTCAATGAGTTCCATTTCTTTCCTCTTTTCTTCTCTCTCCTCTTCTGGATCCAACTCGGCTCTTGATTTCTCTTTTCTCTTGCTAGTTGATTAGTTTGCATTATGGGAGAAAATGTCTCCCTTCCCTGCCTTAGGATCACATTCCCAGATAAAAAGTTATATAGGTTCTGAAGCACATGTTTCTTTGACTTCAAGAATGATAAAAAAATGAATTAATGACTAAAACACTTATTTGTGGAGCACTTTGGTGAGTACCCAAGAAACAAAGAGAAAGTAAGCTAGTTCTGCTCTCAAGGAACTCACATTCTAATGGAGGAAACAACCAATATGGAATCATTTATTTAAAACTAGAAGATAGTTTAGAGGCCATCTAATCCAACTCTTCCATTTTACAAATGAGGAAACTGAGACCCAGAGAGTTTAAATGGTTTTCCCATTGTCACATAGCCGATAAATGGAAGAGCTGGGACTCAAACCCAAATCCTCTAACTCTAAATGCAGAAACATTCCCCTGTGTTCACACTGCCTCCTCCCGCCAGTCTTCTACGGTCCTTGTCTGAACCCAGGAATTTGAGTTAAAAATTGGAAATGTCGAGTTGTTAGGAAAATGTCACATGGATGGATGTATGCACCAGAGCACCTTGTCTTTGTAGCAGTTCACATGTGAAAGAAATGGCTTGACATTTTATCGTATCTCTGTATATTGATTTGTGCTTTGGGAAAATTCAGTGAACTTTCTTTTAACTGAGCAGTGAACACTGTGATTCTCAGTTTTCTGGAAGGCAAGTGAAAAAAGACACTTTTCATAAAGGACCTAGTTCAGAGACCTCCTCAGTAGGCAGTTGAGATATGTTTATCATCCTGTCTCCAAGCATTGGTACTGTGAGGCCTCTGGAATGATTGATTTTTAATAGATAGTCTCAGAGTGCAACATGCCAAGTGAAAATTAGAGTATTGGTCTATACAAACAAGCAATATTTCTTTATAGAAGTACGTTGCTTTGACTCTAGTTTCTGAGCTGACCTGTGCCATTTGCATTAGTGAATTAAAGGCAGTGTGGTAAAGTAGAAAGAAGAAAGCCAGAGGGACATGGATGTAAATCCTATCTCTAACGCTTTCTGGCAGTGTGACCTTGGACAAGTCAGAAACTGCTAGGGAGCTCAGTGGATGGAGCGCTGGGCCTGGGGTCAGGAAGATCTGAGTTCAAATAAGGCCTAGCTGTGGGACCCTAGGCAAGTCACTTAACCTCTGTTTGTCTCAGTTTCCTCAAATATGAAATGATGATAATAATAGTGCCCACATCCAGGGGTTGTTGGGAGGATCAGATAATATTTGTAAATTGCTTAGCACATAATAAGCTTTCCAAAAAAATGTTGATCTTTCCTTAATTTAATCCCTTTAAGCTTTGGCTTCATACTTAGCAAAAAGGTGATAATAATATTGCTTATTTCACAGTTCTTGATGTCTATACAATGTTACTAAATAATAAAGTACTATGTGAATATCAGCCATTATTAGTAATTGATATTCATATAGTAGCAATAGCAACATTTATATATATATAGTATTTTAACATATGTAAAGTACTTGATATGTGTACACATGTTTATATATGTACACAGACACATATATGCATATATTTGTATCTATGTGTGTATACACACACACACACACACACACACACACACACACACACACACACTCATTTGTTCCTCAGAGGAATCCTGTAAGGTAGGTCCTATTATGATCAGCATTTTACAGGTAAGGAAACTGAAAGTCAGAGGACACTTGTCCAAAATCATGGTTAATAGCCGAGGTAGGATTTGATCTCAGATCTTACTCATTATGGGGACAGTTAGGTGATGTACTGTATAGGTCACTGGCCTTCAAATCAGGAAGACCCATCTTCATGAATTCAAATCCGACCTCAGACCCAGCTGTGTGATGCTGGGCAAGTCACTTAACCCTGTTTGCCTCAGTTTCTCCATCTGTAAAATGAGTTGGAGAAGGAAATGGCCAACCACTCCATTATCTTTGCCAAGAAAGCCCCAAAATGGGGCCACAGAGAGTCAAACATGGCTGAAACAACTGAACAAAAAAACTTCTCTATCCTTCTTTCCAAATCCTGTCCTTTCCTGAACTTCCTTACTTCTGTTGAGGGAACCATCATTCTCTTAGTTACCAGGTTCACCCAGGATCCACTCTGTAACCACTATGTCCTCATCACATAGTTAGTTACTGGGACAGATTAGAGAATGTCTGAGTATGCTCAAAGGTCCACATGGGCAAAGGAATCAGGCAAGTATTCTGTGCATGCTCAGAAGATCAGTCCCCTGTTACAAAGGAAAAATAGTTTCGTTTTCTTTTAAATCCATTGTTCTTTTTATTATTCTTGTCCAGGTTTTTTTTTTTTAAAGCCCCCATGATCCTCAGTTTGTGGCGTCTACTTGTGGTTTTTCCAGAGCTCAAGATAATGAGAAAATAGCTTTGAAAGGCATGACCATCATTAGGAACGTGAACAGGCAATATTAAAGAAAATCTCAATTAGCCAAGCAAATTGAGCTTCGCCAAGGCTATAATTTGTGTCACCAACAATTAGTAGCTTAGAATTTACAAATGAAAAATAGCGTCTCATGTGAACAATGGGATATTGATATAATCAGTCTCTTAGCAGCTATTCTACATCATGGTGCAGAGGAAAAGGTATGGATAGGAGAATCAGAAGACCAGAAACACCAATGCCTGTCACATAAAAAGGGTTCAAAATGCTTATTGATTGACTGACTGATTAAAATCCTGCCTCTAACACCCTGACACCCAGTAACCTAAGATGAGTCATCTAACCTGGGCCTGTTTCCTCATCTGTAAAACTAAGGCTAAACAGGATGACCTCTGAGGTCCTTTCTATCACTAAATCTTTGAACCTATAATTTATAAGACAAAATTCCAGGTTGGTTAAAAATAGTAGCAACAAGACCCAGATCTGTGCAAAATCTTAATAGGAACAAAATTGTGATCAAAAACCATTGTGACAGAAGTCTGTTTAACAATTAGGTTTCTTTGACAAACATAGAAAAGTTACTTCTTATCTCTTAATAGATGACTGGGAGATGATAGCAAATGAATCAGAGCACAGATGAAGGACTTCATTGCTGCACTTAATTTTGTTTCAATCTTTAATCTTATGTTAGTAGATACATTTGGTAAATTTTCTCCAATGGCTTCACTTATTTGTTTATTTATCTATCTATTCATCCATCCATCTTTCTATCCATCCATCTATCCATCTATCTATTATCTATTGTTTTTCTTTTTCTTGCAGGCAGAAGTCATTGACGTGAGGTACGGGACTGTAGAAGATGTGAGCCGGGTTCGAGTGATGAAAAATGTGACCAATAGGATTGCCTTGTTAAAACTAGGAAAACTCCCTTTACTCTACAAGGTTGGTCAAAGAACTCTACTGCATGTGGACTGTGGGTTTTTTTTTTTCATCTTTTTCTGTAGCTAAAATTACTGGGCATGATTTTTGTTAAGGAACTTGATGCCTATTCCTACCCCCCACCCCTGAATGGGAAACCCTACAAGGTGCTATTGAGTTTGCAGAACGTGGATTCAGATTTGATACAGTGAGAAATAGAAGGCCTGGAAATTAAAAGCCACAGTCATCCTCTTCACCTGACATGTGTAATAGTTCTAATCAGTTAGGAAAACAGGGTTGTGACTGCATGTTCTGGATAGGACCAGTATTGTCTAAGATATGCACCTTTCTGATATATTTCATCATCTGCTTGAGATGGGTATAACTATATAACCACTGACTTCTCTCAAGAATTTAATTAAATGATGATGTGCTAAAGAGAAGCTGAATTTTGATTGATTTTTATTAAAATGGAAGTTTATTAACACTTATCCATTGGCTACATTTGCATAATTAAAGCAGTTCAAACTAAATGTCTGATAATGGGCAAACACAGTAGAAGACTCTTACCATTAACTCTTATCTAGTAATTTTTTTTTCTCCTATTAATTAGAGGAGGGGAAGGGGCCACTAGAACTTCCTAGTTTTAGAGAGATTTTGAATCTTTCCCTTTATCCTTTCTCACTTATTTGTCCAAAATATGAATGGGTTTTGCTACGTCTCAGGTCACTCCAACCACCCATCTGTTCCTCAATTGTTGCTATTCTGTGGTAGAATATTATATGGGGAGAAGAGAGGGGGAAATTAGGAGGGAGAGGTGGGAGAATAGCTTTCTTCCTTAGTATTTGCCAAAAATTTCCCTATATTAAAAGCAGATCCTGTCAAAACTGATCATCAGTGATATATTCTAGTTATCTGTCAAAATAGATGAAGATAAGTTATATACTGAAGTTGTATAGTGGTGCATATATAAAAATGTTAAAGGAATGCCACAGTCTCTTGTTTTCTAAGTCACAACAACTCAGATTAACTTAACAAGTATTTGTTAAGCACCTAATATGTGCCAGGCACTGTCCTAAGTGCCAGAGATACAAAGAAAGGCAAAAACAGCCCCTGACCTCAAGGAGCTCACGTTCTGATGATGGAAACAACCTACAAACAACTATGTACGTATAGACAAAGAAATTTGAAAGCAGTCTCAGAAAAGCCACTAGCATTGAAAGGGACCAAGAAGGGCCTCTTACAAAAGGTAAGAAGTCAGGAGATGGAAACAAGGGAGAGGACCATTCTGGGCATAATGAATGAAAATGCATAGAGTCCAAAAATGAAGGCATATGTACAAGGAAGAATAAGAAGTCAGTGTTGCTGGATGGTGCATTCTAGATGTTTCAGTATTGTTCAGTTGGTTTTCAGTGATATCCAACTCTTCATGACCCAATTTGGGGTTTTCTTGGCCGAGATAGTGGAGTGGTTTGCCATTTCCTTCTTCAGCTCATTTTACAGATGAGGAAAGTGAGGCAAACAGGGTTAAGTGACTTGCTCAGAGTCACATAGCTAGTAAGTATCTGAGGCCAGATTTGAAATCAAGTCTTCCTGACCCTAGGCCTGGCACTCTATCCATTGAACCACCTAGCTGTCCATTCCAGATATTAGCAGGGTTGAAATAGGTCAGGATTCTTTTACTGTTGCTATCTGCCAAGTATTTGCATTTCACAGAGAATAATAATGTTATGAAACTCCTAGAAAACACCTGCAGACATAGCACAGAACTATAACAGACAAGTTTCAGGTATGATTTTCAGTTGGATTGGCTCCTTGTAATCCATCTATATCATGACATGGTGGACAAAGAGGCAGAAGCACTGATGGTTGCCATCATTAGCCACGTAGGCCAATGGTGCTGATCACTTGGACCAAAAACTGTGTATGGGAGCAGCCTAGGTGAGAAAGTTCTACCACTGGGCACATCCACATGGGCTTGACAAGATATTTAGCATTATCTTTAAGCAGAAGGACATGAGTTCTTGAACTGTTGATCTTCTTTTGCTGAATATTAGTATTCTCTTCATTTTCTTTTGCTTGTCCTTCCATATTGTTCCATACTTGCTGCTATATTTGTCCTATTACATTCAGTATGTCAAGAAGGTAAGCATAAATGTGAATAAAATTTGGATAGGGATGGTGCCATGGTCCCCAGTGCACCAAAACGCCACCAAATATTTCTCTGAAATTAGATGCTACGAATCTACAGCTGGGAGACGAAGGGCAGGGAACCAAATGGCCTCTGTGTTAAACATATCTATTAATCATGCCTCTAATTGAGCATCTGGACCAGGAATCTGCAAGAGGATGAGTAAGGAGAAAAGTTAATCCTACTTCAGTTTGGGGCAGTTACTAAATCATAATTTAGAAAATGAATTGGGGAGGGACGGGAAAGGGGACATAATGAAATCATTTCCTAAAATGAATAGAAAGGAAGTTGCAGACAAAAAGGAGGGTAGCTCATTAGTTTTATCATAAATACTATATACATATATTAATTCATGCTCCAAGAAGGGATTGATATGGCAACCTTCACATTTGGCTGAAAGAAATGGAAATGAGAAAAGAGCTTCACCAAATGTGCCTGGACACAGGCACAGACATGACTGGTAGAGAAAGAAATCTGCTTAGGACCTCCTCACGGAAGGGTTATGAAAAGGAAACTGATTTCCTTAAACTTACATTTATGAGAAATGACTTTAATTTTATTTGGTCTTTAAGTTAATAGATGTTTCCCTTATGGGGGAATGCTTTATTTCCAAAAGTTCTATGCAAATACTTCTTCAATTGCCCTAATGTATCTTGGATTAATGTCTCTCTTTGCCAATGGGAAATATATCATATGGTATCAAGAATAGAGAAATGTTAGATTTAAAGATTATAAGAGTATAGTAAAATTCTCTACAATTATGAGTTCTTCCAGGGAGATTTATTATTTAACAGGAGGTAGACACTGCTTGTCTAGAGAAAAAGTTGGGAATGTCAGAACAAATTACAGTATGCGAATGTAATATGAATGTAATAGATGGATGGAATTTAGAGGAATTTGAAGAATCTTGGAATGACTTGCATAAAATGAAAGAGATTGAGGTAAGGAGAATCAAACAATTGATACGATGAATACAATAATGCAAAAAAAAGCACTAAAGGAATAAATTCATTTTAATGTAATGATTAATCTTAATTCCAGAGGATGGAAGATCAAATATTTCTATTTTTTTTTGTTCTTAATAGAGAGGAAGTGATCTAGGGCTATAAAATGTTACTTTTTCCATCAGTCTTGGTAGATGTCTTGATTTATTTTGCTTAACTGTTTTTTGGTTTGTTTTTTTTTATTTACAAGGGAGGTTCTTTGTGTGATCAAATGAGATAATTTTTGCTAGATACTTAGGACAGTGTCTAGTACATAGCAGGTGCTTAATAAATGCTTTTTCCCTTGTACCCCCCAAAGTAACCATGATATTTAAAAAAAAATACATTTTTTACTAGCTCTTTCTATTTCACCCTGGCTAGAAGTGCAACAGCTACTCATGGCCTCAATCCCAATACTGATTAGCATAGAAGTTTTAACTTGCTCCATTTTTCCAACCTGTATGGCTTTTCCCTCTCCTTAGGAGCTTGGTGACTTTCCACCACAGAGGCTCACTATATTTGTGTTTTACTTAGTGTAGATGCCCAAATAGCTTTAGCCCTACTGTAATTAAGAACTCCCAAACTCAAGCAATCCACCAACCTTATCTTCTCCCAGTAGTATACTATTACACCCAGCTAAAAATATGTTTTTAAAAGAAAGAATGTTAACCACAATGAACTCCTCAAATATTTACCGATATGTAAAATACATAATAAGCTCTATGAGGGCAAATAGGAAACAGAAGACTGATTGCCATTCAGTGCCATAACTAGGGTGGGGCAGCAGGAGTTTTTCCTCAGGATTTAGAATGTAGAGGGTGCAGATATTACTAGGGACAAAATTTAGAAGTTGAAGATAGCACTTAAAGACTTTCTTTAGAAACAGTATTTTAATTTGTCGCCCAATTTGCATGAATAATTAGTTAAGCTTAGAAGCAATCAGATGTTAAACTGTTCTGAGATCATTCTCTACTCTATTCTTACAGTATCCAAAGCAACTACTTACAGGATGCAAAGGTCTCTGTCTTCCCCTACACCCAAACACACAGGACAGAAAAATAGCCTCTCCATTCCCCATTCTGTGGCCATACTTTGTGACACTTGTTCCATATGTAAAATTTTCTTGACATTTCTCTGCTGCTGGTATAAGCCCGAGGCCAAATGGATCCTTTTTTCTATTTTAAACTTGAGAATAAACTATGACAAGGGGGTTATATGATGTTCAAATTGGAATTGTCAAGGGCATTTTGTTTGTCTTAATTCAAGTTTAATCCCTACCTTATTTTACTTAAATTTAAGAAAATGTGATATATGTATATATATATATACACATATATATAATGTGATATTATATACATATTATATATATTATATATATTGTATATATGTATACACACATATAATTTGCAGAGGGATACTTTTTTATAGTCAATGCTATAAAAATCTATCCATGGCCTTTCTGAAAACAAGGTAAAAGCTAAAAAACTTTTCCAACATCCACCCATTTAGCTCCAAAATAGACTATGTCTTAGGCCAAGAAAGATTTCCTATAGTTCACTCTCCATCAAGGTATATAGTTGGTTTAGGGAAATGTGTTTTAATCTAACGAAGTTTATTTCTTTGTTTATCTTGTTGTTCAGTTGTTTAAGTTGTGTCCAACTCTTTATGATACCATTCAGGGATTTCTTGGCAAAAATATTGACATGTCCTGCTCCGGCTCATTTTACAGTTGAGGAGACTGAGGCAAACAGGGTTAACTGACTTGCACAGGTTACACAGCTAGTAAGTGTCTAAGACTAAATTTGAACTCAGGCCTTCCAGAATCCAGGCCTGGCATTCTATCCACTGAG